GGTCGTGCTTGCACCTGGCCAACAGGAAAGGGAGGAATTAACCGCTGTAGCTGCCCCCAGAGGAAAAGAAATAGAACTAACATATCCGAAGCCTTTTCAAAGAGACTCACAGGTTTTCTCCCGTGTTCCTCCACCCAAAGCCGTTCACCACTTGGAGCGACGCGTGATGGGAATGGTGTAGCTGTTCTTTGCGGCACCTTTTGTCTGACCCAGCTACAGAATTAACTTTCCCTGGAAGCTGAAGCGGCTTTGGTCAGTTGTGTCAGCCTTCTGGAGGTGAATGAAGAGGGTGCAGATGTGGGATAAATAGAAGCAATATAAAGGAGATGAACTGCAGAGAACGGTGCCGCTTACACGTGTCACCAGCTATATTCTGCCATGGGTGCAGGTGGCACAGTGACACCCCCCGTGTTCTTGCACTTCCTCTTTCCCAGGCAAGATGCACCTAAAAGATTTCCACTCCCTTATGAACAACGAGCATTTACTCACACTTTGCAAATATAGAGGGCTAACTGGTAAGAATTTTATACTAGCTCTGCTCAGGTTCAGACAGCTGTATAAATGAAAGTTAAGAGAAATACCAAACAACGATTTCCTAAGAAACATTTATCTTTTGGTCTATTTTTTAAATGAAATACTAGATTTAGAGTTACTTAGAATGCCTACTTAGAAAAAGTCATATGCTTAATTGAATTAGTATTCAGTTTCTGTCCGTGCATTCCTTGAGTCAGAGGCTCCCTGAGGCTAGCAGCCTCTAGCAAAACCCTCAGAACTGGTAGGATTTTCAGTACTTCTGTGGTGCTATGAGCCAAGGCTGTTTGTTAAGATATTAGTTCTTAATTTAAATCCTATTATAGAGAAAAAACACCGTGCTTTTTAGTTTTGTTTTTTACAATTCATTACTGCATAAATAAAGGAGTTTAAATCTTTTGTTATTAAAAATCTAATTATAAAGATACAAATTATTATCATAGCATAGAAGAAGCAATTGGTACTTTTAAGGTAAAAGACAGGAGCATACTTACCTTAATCGTAGAGGTGGATACTCAGATCAGAAAAATGCTACATATGTGTCATTAAAAGCTGTGAAAGCAATGTTTTAAATGCAGTATTACAAGCATTTTATTTCTAAACCACAATGCTGATATTAGGAGTATATGAAACCATGCCTCACTTCACAGCTACACAGCACAATTACAGGCATCTGGTCTAACCAGAGACCTCATCCCAGTTCTGTTTTGCTTTCTGTACTGACATTTGTTTGTGGCTGAAGAAATAACTACCTCAAGTTTGCGAAGAGGCTCTTAACGCCAAGTTACCTTCCCTGATACTGATGCTACTTGACAGCCTCGAAGTGGCACATAGGTTCCAATTCCTAAAGCTATTTCATACTGGAACAGGCCAGTGAACTACCTGCTGCAAGACAAGGTGTCTATTGGCTGAGTGAGCCTTTGCGTGACCCAGCTGAAGGGACACAGCTGGAGCTTTACTGCCACCAGTAAATAATCTCTGCAAACAATGACTTCATTAAGTTAATACTGAATCTCATTTTCTCTCTGTGCTCAGTGAAATTGGGAGGGCAATGGTAAGGGTAACAGGGACGGTATCAAAGAAAATTTGGACTTGAGATACAATGGAAAGCTTTTCCTTTTACACCCTCTCAGTGCCAGCAGCCTTTCTTCAGTGTTGTCCAGGGTACTTGAAATGATGTTCCTATAAGGACACATTTCAGGCCATTATGAATCTCACATTTCAGCCTTCTTCAGGTCAAAGTATCAAGCAGTTCTGACTACCACAGGGCAGGAAAGACAGCACTGTTAGTACAACCACTGCAGAGCGGCCAAGGCACTGGGTAACCTCTCACAGATGGCATTTAATGCAAGAGTTCACAATTCAGTTTTCTACGTTAGTTTAACCCTTCAATACATCTTATCTGCCTGAAAAAGAGGCAGAGAAGTGAGACACCACAAAGGAGGAAAAAGAGACAGAAGAAAAAACCAGCAGTTTCAAATTACATCATTTTCTTTTGCCACAAGAACTTAAGCATCCCACAACCACAAGGTTATTTTCCTCCCTCATTTTCTATCATAAGCATCCAGTGACTTGGTTGATACTTTTGGCCTGATCTTGCACACTCGCATACACATTTAAGCTCACTCACAAGGCAGTTCACCAAATGTATAAATCTTTTAGGATTTTGTTAAGGTGCAGCAGGATGTTACAATAACTTTGTTCCTGAAAGTTTGACAAGGAACTTTACAGTGGCAGGAAGAAGAAAAGAACCAAGCTGTGCTGGATTAAACCACGACACAAGCGTTTCACAGATTCCTTAAAAGAAGCCAAAGTTAATTTTTAAAAGACGCACTCAAAACGCTAACACAAACATAAGTAATCTTCACCCTGTTCTATCTCTTCCCAGTGCAAATACACGTCATCCTCCTTCTGAAATGGAGAATTTTATGAATTGAGAATGAGTAATTTCAAACCAGCACACTCCTCTCTGTCATACGCTGTGCCAGACTGTGCATTATCAGACTCCTGATATGCTGCTTTGAATGATTCATGGAACACCTAACACTGCAATATCTCACCGGCAGGCATCCTGCTGGGATTTATTGACACCATAACATCTCTAAAACTAAATAACCCAATATTATGTGCATACGATGACCTGAATTCACAGATCTCAGTATTGCAGTAGATTTTGACAAACCCAGACTTGCAACACTTGGTATCACAGGGGACATAGGATTATAATGTGACACTACATTCTGGTTCTGTCTATACATGACCTCTTTCTATACGGGCACATGCACAGCTGAAACATCAGTTATGCACGAGAAGGCCTACAGCCGACTCAAGAGACCTGTCTTACGGCTCTAGAGGATTTGTGAAATGGCCTTTCTATGGATTCCAGGCGTATCAATTCAGGACAGAATTGGGATGCTAGTAGCACTACTTGGTCTCTCCTAGCTGTGATAAGAGGGGGGGGGGCGGAGGGGTGCTTGCAGCTTTGGTTTGGTTGGGTTTCAAATGTATATATAGTCAGGTTTTCTGTCTGGTTTTCTTAGATACATTAGCCTAATACCGCTCTGAGAGCTTTCTCCTGATGGGAGCAATGAGAAATAAAATGACTGGATGTCAGCAGTGGAAGCACTCTCCCACATCTGTGACAGAACCACGTGACTTTCTCCTCTCAACCTCCTCTGCTTTTCAGGATCATCCTTCTCAATTAAAAGCCCAAGCCAGAATTCAACTTACTTTTTTTTTAAGCTATTTGATGGAAAGTCTCCCCACAAGAGACAGACAATTATATACTCGTAATTTGTGAACAGAATTACCCACTAATCCCAAGTAACACTGTTCTTCATGATTAACACTTGAAAATTAAGTATATAAAGCACTGGAAAAGCAAATTTAAAAGGAAAAAAGGAACAATTCTACTTAAACCAACAACACAATGTGTTACCAATGTATAACTTAGCTATGACTAATCACTTGAAGTATTTACAACTAAAGAGGTTTTGATTACTGCAATGTTTGAGATGAGCTATTAGATTACAAATGAATACTAAAGCTATGTGTTGCACATGACACACCCAGCTACAGAAGACATTGTAATCTACATTGTTTCCTCTTTTAAAACAGATGTGTGAGTTCAATCCCAGTGTCTATATAAAGAAGTCAGAGTTCAGTAGGAGGTTTGCTCTGTGAGGAATAGGAAACAGCGTATTAGCAACCCCTAGGACTCTATGGAATGGAGCAGCTTCAGCTTCCACTTTAGTCAATGGAAATTATGGCTAGACAGATGACAGGAAACTGCATGCACAATCAGTTTTAAAAGCCGTTGCAAACAACTACCACTTATTTTCTTCCCGGAGAAAATCAGTAGGACACATCTCAGGAGTAGGACACTTCAGCAGCAGCAAGCATTTGCAGAAATATTTCCAATTAATTCAGTTTACTTTGTCATGAAATTGAAAAATAAACCACATCAAAATTTGCGTAAGAATCAATGAACATCTGAAGACGGTGTTAACTTGCACACATAACCTTTCCAGCATTACAGCACTGAATAGCATGACGTATTCTGCAACTACTGAATTAAAATTCACATTGCACTGAAATAAATGTCTTGTAAAAAGCCAGTTACAAATTGGCTTGGTCTATTTGTACCTTAATTTATCACCGAGATAAAGAAAAATTATCAGGAAACCTGATAAAGTTTAAAATCGATTGACAAAAAGAACTTGTACATACATTTTCTTTGTATATGGTGTTATCACTTAAAAGAATACACTCAATAATAGTAATAATAAATACATGCTTTATTCAATTAATTTGGTGCAATCATCTTCACTCTGTTCAAATCAACTTTGAAAAGAGCTTGATCCTGTTGGTCCCATTTCCTAGTGATATGTAGAGCTTTCCTTTACATTTTATGACAATTGGAACATATTACAATCAAACCATTAAAAAACTAGCAGTAACTAAGAAAACAACAGACAGACTGGCTAGCCAATAAAATTCCAAATTTGACACGGTATATGAGCTCCATTCTCTAACCGAGAGTATTACTGGAAAATTAGAAAATTTTTCCTGAAAACTGTAGAACAAAGAGGAAATATTAGCAGAAATAACAAGAAAACACAAAGAAAACCAACAAGTAATTGTGTTCGAAATGGTAGTAATTTTTAAAAGGTATTGCCTGTTCACTCTATCACTGCTTTTTGTATTTCAGAATTTCTATCCTTCTAAGATTCTCAGACAAATACGGTTCTTCATCTTCATAGATCTCAAAAAAAACCCCAAAAATATCTTCTTTGTTAGAGCAAAGGAAAATAATATCGTCTATACAGCTGGTGGTGTCCTACACAGCCTGTCAATGTCACATTACACTGGCTGGTTCTTTTTAAACAGATGCACAGAGTTTCTGAAACAGTGTCAGAATATGGGAAGTTCTGAGGTGGTTTCTACTCTTTTTGTAAATGCTGAGATATTTACAACAATAAACAAACTCCTGACTTAGCTTCACCTCCATTTGCGTATCCCCCGGAATCTGCTCTGTTGGGATCATTCAGTTCTTCAAACAGTCCTGTTTCAATAATTTCTTCCTGCCAGGCTATAGGGACAGCACCTGTTGCAAACCTTTTGAAGAACTTCTTATCTTTGTCATCAAACTCAACTCCTCGTATTTCAGAGAAGTCAGCAATGTCTGCAACATCTTTGGCATAGACAACTGATGGATCTGGCACAAACGGAGGGTCAATAAGGTTTGCCTCTAGCCTGTGGAAATTTATTGTTTTGAAGAAACTATGTTTTCTTGGGTCATCATCTTCATTTCTGCAATAAAGCAAGAGTTTGTTAATCAGCATGATGCTTTGCTCTCACACAGATACAGGCGTGTCTTTGTGTGGTATACGTGAGAGTATTTTAAAGTAAGGGGAGAGAGAGAAAAAGAATGCAGTGCAGTTCCCTTTGTCATAACCAAAGAACGCTGCACTGCACAGTATAAGCAAAGCTGAGAAGCAGAAAACGTCCTGGTCCTATTATTCATTACTCTACCGCTCAGAGTGAATTAGCCTGGGCAGGGTGCCACGCAGGAGTTGCAGGGAAGCTTCTGGCAGCACACGGAGATACCCATATCCACAGATACACTTTAACCAGGACTGAAGATCCAGCAGGATGCGGAGTATTGGATTTACTGACCACCGACCAACGTCCAGCGGTTGGCTCTGTATTAACTGGGTAAGAATGTCTATTAAACTCTAGGCTGGGGTACACTGGGTTAACCACCTAGGGACTGACTCTGAGGAACAACGGCCTGATTTTGAAACTGGTAACAAATTACATTTCTGGGTTAATCTTAATTCAAAGCAGCCGTGTGTTTACATCAGAAAGCTCAGCTATGTTGCTCTACTAAACACGCCCAGTTTTAGTGAATCTGTTCATTCAAATTAACTCTTACAAATGGACGGAGATTTTAAGTAAGAGATTCACAAATTATGACATTAACAAAAACGTGCGCCAGTGTAACACAGTCCTTTATTAGTATTGTTAAAACCCAAGAATGCAATCCAGAAAGGACTAAAATAATTGTCAGAAGTACATCTTGCAAAAAACAACTGCAGACCTCAGTGAGAACTTCTGCTGCAAAAGCAACGGTGAATCGTTTCACTGTAGAGCCACAGAGAGAGTGTAGGGCATTCTGATGGTAAGGACAGCCTCAGCCTGCAGAACGTGCCCCTTAAAGCACGACCAAGGAGCGCAGCTCTTCAGCTGTGTCTCTGGAGTCAAGGCGTGCAAGGTCTGAGCTCTGAATTCTAGGGAAAGGAGGAGCAGAGAAGACCACTCTATCTTCCAGTTCTAGGCATACTTTTTTATGTATTTATGGATGCACTGGTCTTGAAAATGGGAAACATAAGAAAACCAACTTTGTCTGGTTTGTGGCCTCAGAAAATGGTAGCTGCTGATGTTGCTTTTTTCTTTTCCCTCTTCCTTACAAAATCATACACTTAGCAAGGTGTAAGTCCCCATGTACTTCTAGACAATGTTCTACACATAAAATGTAATCCAAACCTTTGGCCAGTCTTCTTACCTTTGCAAATGTGTAGAAGCACCATATAATAGTGTGATTTGTGTAACTACAGAAAATCTTCAATTTTTAAGACCTAATGCCATGTAAGCACACCAGCTCCTCCCACTTGCCACTACTGCCAGCCCCTCATACGCTGCCCTGTCCTGCTTCTGGCCTGCCTTGGTGCTGCCCCAGCACAGCTGAGACGAACCTACCAGCTGCCCTTTTCAGCTCCCTCCCAAAAACTTCACTTCATTTTGCTTTTCCTTCCTGTTACACAGACCAAAAGTACTAGAAGCTGGTGAGAGCTCCAGAATGGATTGGCTGCAGTGTTCCTCCTCCTGTTGTATTTTCTGACACCACCAAAACCATTTAAAAGTTTAAAATATACAAAGCTACAGGAACACCATCTACTGGAACCAACTGCAGGATCTTCTAAAGCAGCTGCAAAAGTACTTGAGCTCTTCCTCTGGGAACTGCACGTTTATGTAACTTACATAGAAAGAGCAAAATGAACTCCTCTAAACTCTGTCAATTTTGTGTTTCTCCCTTAAAAAGAAAATAACCAAAAAATCACTTTGCAGATTTGGGATTTGAGATGTCAGTCCTAAAAAACTTAAATGGAGAAAAGGGCTACATCTCTCCCAAGTTAGCCAGTGACATTGAGTCTTCAGTAAAAGAGCAGAGTATTTGAAAAGGTCAGGTGTACAAAGTAAAGCTGTCCTTGAACAGCTTTAACTTATGCAACAGGCACTTATGTAGATAACCCAAGGTCTTGTTGCCCTTAGTAGAATTACAGTGCTAATCTCTACATAAGGATGAGCTGTCCTGAATAGTATCATCCTGTTTAAAAGGTACACGCAGGCTTTTATTCTGTACCATGCTCAGGCACGGTATACATCCCATCATTTTCCTTCTCCATGGCACATAAGAGTAAGAATATCTGAAATGCAGAAAATTTAAAATAATCTGTGCAATTACCTTTCTGTGCGCATTTCTCCCACTGCTGAGCAATAACGTAACAGTAAACAGACAGAATGATGGTAAATTATTCCCTTGGCAAACGGAATGGGGTTACAGTAAGCAAGTGGTCTGTTGCTGGTTTTGCCTCAGACTTGCTTAATGAACTTTACCAACTCACTCAGAATATCTAAATTTCATTTTTCCCTACTCTGAATTTCGTTTACTTCACAAAACGCTGTAAGACTACAGGTCTGCAAAGCATGCCAATTTTTAGGGTAGAATGCTCTAAATGTTTTTGTAATACATTTATTTTTAAGTGTTGAACATATTTTTTCTTCTGCAGCCTCACAGAGTTGGTGGGAAAACTCATCAGGCATAAGGAGCAGTTGTCTTCGTTTAGCACTGGAATAATAATATGGGTATTAATGATATATTGCCGTTCATTAAAGTTAATTCTTTCAGGCAAATGTGTGACTAGCATTCTGCACACCTATGCCATGTTGTTACGAAATATAAGTTTAGAAGACTATCTCTGCATTTTCATTAAGACCCTGCAACTATTTCACCTTTAGGTTGGAAAAGCATCTGATGTATATTTGTATTCATAGGTGATACAAATTATGGGGCATTCTAAAGACAGACACTACCAGCTTCCTATTAATTTTGGTTTGGTTTTTTTTTTTCATACTGCAAATGTAAATCCCCAATCTGTCTCACCAGAAATGCACTAAATGATTTTTTTTAAAATATACATGTATACACACATAGAGGGATCAGAGATATTACAAGTTAAATATGACAATGCTTAGCTTTCCTTTTTTCTTCTTACTGAAAAGTTACTTGAAATTGCTAAGTCAGGGACACATCCATCAGTCCTCATTAACCCAAAGCCAACTCTGAAATCCCCCAGAATGTTCTCCTTTATAAGACTACGTGGCCCAGTATTCTTTTCCTCCCCTTTCCCCCTAGGATGAGTTAGGAAGACCAGAACCTCTCCAAGAGTTTTTTTTTAAAAGCACTTGAGTAAAGCAGAGAGGTTAAGGTCTCTTCAGTCAGAAGCCAATGACGCAGCCTTGCAAGTTCGATATCTGCAGGGAAGAGAATCCACACTGCAGATTTGGATTTCTGCCCACATCATTCCAGTAAGTGATACAGCCTAAGATTCTGCATCCAATCTGCAGTAGCACAGATGCAGGTATCTACTTGAATATTCCTTTACCCTAGGAAAGAAAATGCACAAGAGATGGGCTGCTCCCTTCTCCCAGAATCATACAGTTATATAGAGCTCCCCACAAAATACCAAGAAAGGAACTCCTGTAAGTATTCTGGGGTGAGGATGCAATCACACTATTGCAACAATATTCCTGGTTTCCATATTACCTTCAAAAACTTCCACCTCTGCTCCTAGAACCGAAAGGGAAAATTCACTGCTACATAGAAAGTCAAGATCTGACCTCAGTTTGTGCAATATGTAAAATAATAATATTATTTGCAGCTTTTATTTGGTTTTTACTGAGTTTGAGAAGTAAGGCATACCTGCTTCCTAAACGATTCTCTCTCTTCTTGGCCAAAAACAGTCGGCAAATCTCTTTTGCTTCCTCTGTAAAGCTGGCATGTTCAAATTTCACCTCATCTTCCAGAGTTCTTCTTTTAACCTCATCCTTACCAACCTTTTCTTTGAAATCCTTAAATGGTGTTCGCCCAGCGATCATCTCATAAATACTACATCCCATAGCAAACCAGTCCACAGGATAGCTGTACTCTTCCTCGTTCAGGATTTCCGGAGCCATATAACCATTTGTCCCAGCCTATTGCAAACACAGACAGATTTACTATACAATGGCAATAATGAAATGCACACAATTAAACACACTAGTCTATAATTGTTCAAAAATGTTAGTAATGCAATTTATGTATTTTGTATCTAGAAACTCTGCATGATTGGTATGGTTTTTTTTAAACCTAGAAACTCTGAAATATAACTCTGTTTTAGCACATGGTCTATTTCTGTCTTTAAACATCTTGGCATGTGGGAAAACTGTCTCAAATACGCTCTTCAAAGGGGAAATGCCTGTGCAATTTCTGCCTAAAAGTGGTTTCTTTTTAAATTAATGTTTAGCCTCCTTTCTTCTTCCATATCAATTTTTTTCTCGTTGAAGAGAGTGCTGTTAGCTGTGTCCTGTAAACACAGCTAGTAATCAATTGGAAAAGATTAAAAGATGACAAAAAACGGACAATCACCCGTTCCTGCCCTGTGCAGTGGTGATGACCGGGCCAACGCAGGAGCCTGCTGCCAATGAGGGAATTCTCATCCAGCCGGCAGCTGAGCTGCACCAGGAAGTTCTCACCCGCACTCCCTGTTGGGTCCCAGAAGGAAGTGCTACCACCAAGGGCCAAGAAAAACTCCTAAAACCATTGTAAGAAAGTAAACCTATGAAAATTAGTGAATTACACGCATTCAGGTGAAAGAATGAGTTCCTATTTCCTAACTGAAGAAAGCTCTCTGAATAAAGACTACTACTTTATACAGCACGAATGGACCCTTCTCCAAGAGAAGTGACTGCTCTTTGGGAGGGGAACACGCCTGCCTCATTCCCAGACCAGGCCTGGCATGTTCCCCCTTGGGGGACAGACCGCAGGGTGTTCAAAATAGCAGCTGCTGCCTCCCTCTCCAGGGAGCCACTTCACCTGGGAGGGCAGAAAGGAGGCCAACTGCTCCACACGCACAGTTACATGACTGATGCTGGCAGATTCCCTCAGCTCACCCAGCATTTCCTGTCACAGCTGATGCTGCGTCTTACTTCAGATATTTACCAGATTCAACTAACAGTGAGAACTGTGTCAGAAGGGGCTTCACTTGGAGCGAGTCCAGAGGAGGCCACGAAGATGATCAGAGAGCTGGAGCCCCGCTGCTACGACGAAAGGCTGCGAGAACTGGGCTTGTTCAGCCTGGAGAAGAGGAGGCTCCGAGGAGACCTCATTGCAGCTTTCCAGTATCTGAAGGGCCTACAAGGGGGCTGGGAGAGGACTTTTTACAAGAGCCTGTAGTGACAGGACAAGGGATAACGGGTACAAATTGAAATCAGGGAGGTTTAGATTAGATCTCAGGAAGAAATTCTTCACAGAGAGGGTGGTGAGGCACTGGGACAGGTTGCCCAGAGAAGCTGTGGATGCCCCATCCCTGGAAGTGTCCAAGGCCAGGCTGAATGTGGCTTTGAGCAACCTGGTCTAGTGGAAGGTGTCCCTGCCCATGGCAGGGGGGTTGGAACTGGATGGTCTTTAAGGTTCCTTCCAACCCAAACCATTCTATGATTCTATGAACCTATATTCTTCATCTTTTTGAAATACTGGGACTGATGAATTAGTAGTATTACCATTTAAAATGAAAAAATTATGCTTGTGCAAAATCCTACTAAAGGTGAATTGAGACAGTCACCCTCACTGCTACCAGAACACAAGGAGTGACAGAGATCCACTCCAAGGCAAAACAGAGTTAGAAAAGGGTAACCAAAACCAGCGCTCATGTTATATTTGTAAAAAGCAGAGCTCAACAGATTCAATTTATTTTATGGGGTTTGGGTAACTCCTCTAATTTTTGCAGCTTTAGGCGCAGCATTTCTGGGGCAGGTCTCCCTAGAAACTTTAGCTCATGCACTACACATCATGGCATATGCTCTACTGTAAACAATGTCTGCAAGATGCAGCACCTCAGCATCAATTACAACAGAAGCCTAATGAACAAAAAAATTAAATCCAGTTTGTTTGCCCTCTTTGTATTTTTTTACTTTTAGGGATATAGAGCAAAATCCTCCATTTGGTTGAAAATCAGCAATAAGAACAAAAATGTCAACCAGGCTGAGAGCAAAAGAGAAGGTTAAAAGCCAAGCGCCGCCTCTCACTCAAAGCGCAGAAGTCAGAGGAGCCACAGGGGCAGGGCAGCAGCTGACACCACCCACCCGTCATTTGTGCCGCTGGCACTGCATTTCTCCACGGAAAAGTTAATAGCGAGAGGTACCCTGAAGGTTTTAAATGTTTATGTATGACTACTGCTCCATTCAGAAAGGGGGACAAGTGCTCAAACAGAGAGGGCAGAGCCCAGACCCATCTGGCCTCCCAAGATGACAGAACCTGGATGGCAGAGGTTGAAGGCAGGAGAACAGGTTGGGTACAAGAGGACAGCGGAGACCTGGCTGCAGGTCAGTGAACACAGACACTACACCAGGCTTCTGGAATGTATTTTTGTCTTTGCTTTTTTCTCTTCTGGGAAGCAATAAGCATTCTTATTTTTCCTGAGATGATCTGGTGCACTAATGCCTTGAAGAACTGATGAGTCATATCAGCATCAAAACGTACCCTGACAGCACAATATGGTCTTTCTGATAAGACACTATTTGGCTGCAACTTAGCATAATCATACGGGAACTGGATAAATCTGACATGAAAAAGTCAGAATTCTGTGATCGTGCGTCTCAACCTCCTTTCAGACTGCCTCTCTTTCCTTCCACGTTCTTCCATAGGTGCTTTTTCAGAAGAAACAGTTGCCAAGTAACTTTGGTCTCTTCCACGTGCATTTCCCACATAACCTTCAGTACGTCACATGTACAGAACATGGTGCTGCGACATGGGACTCGTTTCTCAAGAGCAGAGAAAGCAGGACCATTAAGTGCAGAACAAGATAACTGCATGACCACCACTGAACAGAAACCAGAGATGGACCAATGACAGCTTCCCTTCAGACTGAAGTGAAAGACTGTGGGTGGGGTCAGTGAGAACAAGAGTTAAACTTCAACATTCTAAATTAGCAGTACAGAAATATTTCGAGCTCTTATTGAGATGATCCACCTCAAGCTGACAGAAGTCTAGAAACAGATATGGTTCCTCTGATCATAGAATCACAGACTGCTTTGGGTTGAAAGGGACCTTAAAGATCATCCAGTTCCAACTCCCCTGCCACGGGCAGGGACACCTTCCACTAGACCAGGTTGCTCCAAGCCTCATCCAGCCTGGCCTTGGACACTTCCAGGGATGGGGCATCCACAGCTTCTCTGGGCAACCTGTCCCAGTGCCTCACCACCCTCTCCGGGAAAAACTTCTTCCTGATATCCAATCTAAACCTCCCCACTTTCAATTTAAACCCATTACCCCTTGTCCTGTCACTACAGGCCCTTGTAAAAAGTCCCCCCCAGCTTCCTTGTAGCCCCTTCAGGCACTGGAAGGTGCTATAAGGTCTCCCCGGAGCCTTCTCTTCTCCAGGCTGAACAAGCCCAACTCTCCCAGCCTGTCCCCATGGCAGAGGGGCTACAGCCCTCGGAGCATCTTCGTGGCCTCCTCTGGACTCGCTCCAACTGGTCTATATCTTTCTTATGTTGGGGACCACAGAATATAGGTTCTGGATGCAGAACTGCAGGCAGGGT